GAAAACAAAAAAAACCCGAGAAGCGCTACCAGATGGGGCGAAGGACACGGTTGGCCTACAGACGAATGCTCGAGCTTCATGGACAATGGCGGGCCCGGCGCCCGCGCGGCCCTCGTCGCGGCTAAGAAAGATGGACGACTCGGTCTGCGGCTTACGACTCCCGGCCTCGACACCATCGGCGTGCCGCCAGCCCTTTTGCCGCCCTTCATGGCGACGCAAGAAGCCCCAGGAGATCTTCAAAGCAGGGCAGCCTCGAGCACGGCAGCGTCATGGCCGGCGCCGACCGTAACTTTTGCGACAAGAAGCGTTGCAAGCCCCACCACGGCTGGTACCAGATTCACACTAAGGACGTGAGGTATCTGATGCGCTGTCTGACATCCGAAGCCAACAAGAAGCTCAACCTCGAGGCGGAGATCCGGGACGCTGCTGTGCAGAGGAGACTGAGGAAGGAGCGCGAGGGAAATGGCGTCGAGTATCACGGGCAGTACGCGGTGCAGCTTGGAGATCAGGACAAATCTGTGACTGCCGATGGACCTCTTGAGACGATCAGCACTTAACTGCCTGGCACAATTAGTTGGCGACATGGGCTCGATCGGCCCAGCTGCAGTGGGTTGGTGACTTGGGAAGGATGCTCTGGAGCTCGGCGTTGCTAGGCAGGATAGAAGTCACCATAACAGTGACAGTATGACTGAATGAGTGAAAAGGGTCGTCGGTTCTACTCCGACATTGGAAGCATTTTTTTTTTTGCAAAATAATGAGCATTGAGTTTTAGTCTACGACATCCAAATAGAAGTGGACTGATTTTTCAACTGGAAAGGAGTTGGTCTCTATGGCACGACGGCACTTAACGAGCTACGCCTTGCCATGCCCTTGCCTGACCGATTTGGTTCTCATGAATACTGATCTAGGAATGCATCTATCTCTATGCGTCAAGTTTAAGGCGTTCTAGCATGATGTCGATCTTTCCAAGCAGGATCTGGTAGTTGATCGCATCCGAGGCAAACTCGTCTTCGGCCACGGCGCCATCAAGCGTCATGACGCCGCCTGTCTCTTCGGTTGCTTCTTCCTTCTCAGCAGGCTCTTCCGACTTGACAACTCTCAGGTCGATCTCTTGCAGAGTCAAGCCGTCCTCGGCCTTTTGCTGCGCCTCCTGGCTGCTCTCCGCCAGCGACGCAGCCGCGGCCGCGTTGATCTCGCCCTGCTCGTCCATCATCTCGTCGAGACCGGCATCCTCGAACCGCAGCCGGAAACGCTCCGAAAGATAGTAGCGGATATCGTCTAGCAATTCAATAGTGTCCGTCTCTTCGCGGTTCTTCAGCCGCTCGGCACTTTCTTTGATGAGGTCGGCGAATTCGGCTTCGTCGATGTAGTCTTCCAGCCGGTACGCCAGGTACCGAGCGGCGAACTCCTCGAGCCGCTGCACCCTCAGGTCCCACGCGGCATGTATGACGTCGTAGATGTTGATGGGTTCCGTGTCTTCCTCTTCGGGCTGTGCCGTGTGTGCGGTCGACGAGAACATTGCTGTGCGCTGCCCAATGTACTGATGACCTGTGC